CTACTTCTACAACTAATTGGGAGGTTAGTGGTTCCGATATGTTTGTGTTTGTGTTTGTGTGCATAAATGAAAAATTCTTGTCGATTTCAATTCAATGTAAAATGTAACCGATTGGAATCGATAGTTTTCGAAATTTAATCCAAATGGAAGGCAAAATCATATATTTGACTTTTCGTTTGTCTGCACAGATAATGCTGCTAATCTCTTACTCTTGAACAATACCACTTTAAATGCTATACATATATGTTCTCAGTTATAAATGCAATAAATTAATAGACACTTAGATATATATATATTTCTTGGTGTAAATCAATATTTGAATTTCGAAAGCTGAAGCACGTATGTGTGTGTGTGTGTGTGAGCGTGGGGAATGATTTTCCAAATAAAACGAGCAGTGTTTAAGTATGTGAAATTATTGTTTGTATTTTAACAGCTAATAAATCTCTCGCTCATTCTCTTGATCTTCTTCTTCTTTGGGGTGGTGGTTCAATTCCACCATCGATTCGCCTATAGCCTGTTTCAACGATACTTATCCAAATAGCACTTTATGATACCGAGTTTACAGTTTTCGGGATAGTTATGTTGCTTTCGCTTGCGGCCCGATTGTCTAAATTGAAAAATAAACTTTCGCATGAATAAGCAAAATCACAAACACCGAGCGAGAGGACGAGAGAAAGAGAAATAGAGAGGTAGAGTGCGAAAGTAAATCGACAACGTGCAAGAAATATAGTATAAAATTGATGATTGGTAGTTTTGATCGTCTCGTATCGTAACGTCTCGTTATTTCAGACGCCGATAAATTTCCATTCAAGTGTGAATTATAATGTGAGGGTGGCCTTTATTTTCATTTTCCAATATAAATTTGGAGCAGCCAACGAATGTATCACGTATTAATGAATGAACCACATTTTCATAATAATTTTCCCATTTTAAGTATAAAACCAGACGAAGCGACAGAGAGCGAAATGAGTAATTGGAATTTCGTTCACGTCACGTAAAATTCTCTGTCGCTACTTTAAAATTGTAATCGATACATTTATGAAACGTAAATCTTAAACCATATTTCAGATAAAATGGAACGAACGAATGAGTGAACGAATGAGCAGCAACCATTTGAGAATTGAACGTAGAAAAAAACGCTCATAAAAATTCCGAAATGCGTAGTCGATAAATGAAATATTTATAATCATTATAATTTGCACTAATTACCACTTCACGTTCGTTTAACCTTTTTTTCTCTCTATTTTTTTTTTAAATGTCTATGGTCTTGTTGCTCGGCTCGTCTGCGTGCAGCACACAATCTCTAACGTGGTGCTCGTAATTATGAGAGAAATTCGAGGTGAATTGTGGATCTGTTGATATGCGAGCATTAGAAGTTGTCTCTGTGGTAACGATAAACGACATTTTAATGAAGCCATGCTCGTTCACACACACACACACACACACACTTCTGATATTGAAATCACAACTGCGATGCAAAGAGCATTGTATGTGTAAGTGTATGCATCAAATGTCAAGGCAGGAACGCAAACTGTTCGCAAACGTCATGGCATCCAAAAACAGTTGCAGATAACGACAGACAGAGAGCGAGAGAAAAAGAGGTGGCAGTGCGAATTATTTACAAGTGGAAGTAATCTAATATGATTATCATCGCATTTCTTCGCAATTGAAATTAAAAAATTTCGCATGATAGATGAGTATGTCATGAAGCGAGTAATTAATGCGCGTATAACTTCTCACCCGCAACGAACATGAGATTCGCATTTCATTGGAAAATAGTGCATGTTTCGAACACTCAAATGGAAAACCATAAGTGTGTGAAGTTCTGAACAAGTTTTCAAGCATCGGTTTGGTGCTTTGATTTTGTGGAATTCTCTCTTATCATCTCCACCATCTGTCTCTATATGTCTCAACTCTGTATGTTTCTCCATTTTCGTATCACTCAATTCTCAAGTCTGCCGTTCCTTGCAATTTTCCGTTGATTTCTTCAAGGAATGTGTTTGTACGCATCAATTCATCATTTTCTCGGTAATCTTGATTACATTCGTTCTCAAATATTTAACTTAATATGTGGTTAATTTACACCTTCAATTTTCTCATTGTTCTGACACTTTATCCGGAAACGATTATTGAAATTCCAGTCGTTTCCACTGAAATTGCGGAATTTCAGCTTCAAATTTTGCTTCTCCGCTATCAATTGTCTACTCTACCAATAACAAAAGGCACAAAATCTCATTCATGCTGTTCATTCGTCTCTGAGTAAAAAGCAGCAAAATGAAAATTTCGAATAAAGAACCAAAAACGGAAAATCACAACGGAAAAAACTTGGGCAAAGGAAAATATCGCGGTATGAAAAAAGGCGCTCGCGAGAGGTAATTGTTTTTTGAATACTAATGAGTGTGATGTTGACAATGATCCCGAGCGGGCACAAACATACAATTATAATTGGATTCGTTTACAAGGCATCAGGCCACAACAAAGTTTTGCGAAATGTGACACACAAAAGGAGCCAGCGCAGATTCAATGGAAAATTATCCATTTGAGTTTTTTTTTGTTTCTTTTGACGGGGGGAGAGAGAGAGAGAGCAAAAATTATGCCGTTTGCCTGTGTGCCATTCGTTTTATGTCTTCCAGTAGTAACCGTCCACATTTTTTTCTGTATTGTGTGTGTCCTGCTTTTAATGTCGTCGTTCTCTTCAATTAATAACTTTATTAAATTAGCATTATGCTCGTACAAATAAGGCTTCTTCGGTGTGGACGGCGCCATTCCATTTATTCCACTCTGATTGGCCATTATATCCTATTTCCGACGTGAGCAATGACGACAGCCCAAAACGAGAGAGTGTTAAATGCCGAACGGTTCTCGCGTACGCTCAAAATTATGTTATGAATAATCAACATGGAGAGACGAAGAAGAAGAAAAAAAAGCGAATGGTAAAAATCACATAAATACAAATTATGACAAAATAATAACTTAATTTTTGTGCATTTTATACGTGAAAATACGGTGGTGGCCGTGGCCATCGTCCTTTTTATTATACACATTTATTTTCGCGAAATTTTCAAATTATAGGTCATAACAGATTATTTTCAAGCGACTCCATCATGCACGCCCCTACTCGCCCTCATACACCGCAATGGGAAATGGCTCAAAAACGAATGGTAATGGATCAATTAGAATGGAAATAACGTCCGATGGCATTTCGTATTAACCTTTTGGGTATTTTGGGCCACTGCCACCGCCGCTGCTACGCTGAAATCATCTCGGTGTGTGAAACACCTTTTGAGGAATGGAAATAAAGGGAATTTGCAATTTGTTGCAAACAAACGCCCAAACATACCATTCAAAAAAGCGACAGCGACAACAAAGTCGACGAGGACGGCAGTTCAGATTGAATGGGAAATGCTGCAAGTGCTACAAATGACCAGAAGTCAATTAACTGTGGGCAAAAGTTTGATATAAATTTTCTGTGGACTTTCAAATGCTTTCAACGCGTTTATACAAAATGAATTCGAATGAATTGTACGATTCACACCATTGCCGTATCCATTTGTGTATGGTTCGTTGGTTTTGCTGGCTGGCTATAGAATGCATGAAGAACATGGAATTTTTTGGCATCAAGCTGTGTGACGCAGTTCAAAAACCCAGTCCAACATTACAAACGTAAGGATAGCGCGAAGACTGAGCTAAGCCATTGCCTATACATAACAGAGAAACTTTATCGTTGAACGAAAGACAAAAGTAAACTGCAACCACTCGAAATTCACAGCACTGACTCAATTGGGAATGAAGGTGAAATAAAAACAAAATCAACGGAATGGAGTATAGCAGTGACGGAGGACAGCAGGGATGTGTGTGAGATGTAATACAGAAGAAGATACCGAATTTAACTCGCGCACATTTGCCGTTCATTTTAATGAATCGGAACAGTTTCGAGCGCACTGTTTAATTTGCTGCTGCACAGAATTATGTTTACGTCGACTTCATTCAATTCAATTGAATTATTAACGAATAAAGTACACGAGTGGATGCAACGACAACGTCTTCTTTGTCGACTACCTTTTCTCTCTCTCTCTCTCTCTCTCTCTCTCTCTCTCTCTCTCTCTCCTTCACTCCAAACGATTGAACAAGTGCTCAGGTTATCTGCATACAACTTCTGAAACAATGCACCAACACAATGGGCACTGTGTGTTGTCTCTGTTCAGTTCAAAGTGCTTGTGCAATTTACTCCCCAGTTCTTTTCATTGCTGAATAACTTAATGTCGCACTTTTTCCTCTCGTGTTTTTTTCTGTGTTCTTCTTCGCTGTCGTTTACATCAAAATCGTTGAGAACATGAATGAATTCTAAGACACCGAAAGATAAAAACAAAAAGATAGTGGGAGACACAGCGAGAGTAGTGCATTTCGTGCAACGTATCTTTGGGATTGAAAGAAAGAAACGGCAACGTATGTGCTAAATCCAGCGGCTCATGGGATATGTCAATAGCTATGCACACAACCATGAACGTTCTGTGCATAAACAACTCAATGAAGTTCAAAGGCAACGGAATTCATCTCAACTGAACATAATCGAATAAAACGCCGAGACTCTCTTTCTCTCTCTCTCTCTGTCTTACAAAGACACCCAGGAGAAGGAAATGAGCAGAATGCTGCGTGTGCTGCATATTTCTAGCGTAGTAGTTTTTCTCCCTCATCGTTATCTACTTCGCCACTATTGCTGGCTGGCTGGCAATTTCAAAGCGGATCGAATTAAGTGGAATGAATTATATGCTTGAGATAACTGTGTACGGTATCGCTACTTTGAAACACACACACACATGCACACATAGGCTTGGTTTGAAACAAACAAACAAACAGAACGCGAAACAGGAAGCACACTTTTTGAACAACATTTCGAGTCCATTGTCAGAGTGCGAGCCTTGCTTTGCAGAGTATATGATTTTCACCGGCATTCATGCTATGGGCGCTGAGAGGCGAACGGCAATAATAGCCTCGAATAGAATATGTTTTATAAATAAATGGTATAAATTCTCTGGTATCGCATCCGTCGTCATTGTTGTCGTCAGCAGCCGTGGCAGCATCAGCACAGAATGTGTGAGTGCGTTAGCAATCTGGGTGCTCAGTGATTGTTTTTCTTTTCCTCTTTGTTTCGTTCATTTAGCCGAGCAAATCCAATAAGTTTTGCGTGGAAATGAAATCGCTGCTCGAAACTTTTTGTGTGCTGCAAAAATGGATACACATACGAGCGAAAAATAGCAAGACTGTGGAAAATGCGAGCGCAGAAGTGAGATAGAAGCATGTTATGGTGTTTGTGCTGCGAAAAAATCGAAATGTAATTTACCTGGATGCTGTGCATTTAATGTGGCATCGTAAATGGAAGAAAAAATAACATATGCAGGAGGAGGCTTAGGCGGAAAACGATTTTTGCCCGGAAAACAACGCTAGAGCAATGGGGCTGCTCGAGCAAATTGCCAAAAATAAAGACAACACACATAGAAATATAAATTGATATCAAGATATCGCCGTTCTTTTTTCTATCAGTCTGTAAGTTGGATTTTGTGTGTATGTTTCCCGCGCGCGTTATCTCTATTCCGTTGATGGTGCTGTGGTTGCGGTTGTTCAACAACTTGTTCTTGCGCATAAAACGTCTTACATTTACCGTGAAAAATGATCATGAATTATCAATTCGAACGAAGTGAAATCTGTTTTCTTTTTTTTCCCAGTCATTCGGGCATCTCTTGCCCTGAATTTTGATTCGGGTACACACTTATCCCATCTAAATAATTGAAACTAATTTCAAACTGTAATCTTTTACTACTGTCAAACGAATGCGCCACGAATTTTCCATTTAACCAGTATTTTTGGGTGAGAAAGAGAGACAGACGGTTTTATACATGTGGTTTGAAACTGCTTTGATTTTCATTCGACGAATTGCCAGTTCAATCACCACGGAAAAACTTTTTCCGCCGACTTTATCCATAATTCAATTTGTATTCGTAGTAAGTTTCCCAAGCGTTCGTTCGTTCGCTCTTTTTTTTCTGTCTTGTTCTTATTTCTCGTGAGCTCGAAAATTGAAAAATGAGTTCAATGCGGAAATACTCGGTATAATCATTCTAACGGCACAAATTTTGTTGCCTGCATACCGAATGGAATATAAATTGTTGATAATGTTGACCTCCACTTTTAATTCAAACGTTCCTTTTTTAGAGCTTCCGTTTCCTGTTTGTTTATATTTCTACGAAACGTCCTACGTGTTTTTACGAAACCAATTCTCAATGAGCAATGAACATTCCCGCCAGCAATTGCAAACGCGCGCATATTTTGCCGAAAATGAATTTCGAAAATTTATCAGGAAACCCAATGAAAACGGGAACTTTTCTCAACTAAATTCAACTTCGGTCCGTTTGCCTATTTTTCATCAAGTTTATTTTTTATCGTACGCAAGTTCGACGAAGAAAAAAAATAATTGCTTCAAACAATTACTACGAGACGGGAGAAAATGAGCGGAAGTTTGTGGCTTCCAATTAAAGTGACGCCAAACACGCTTTTGAAGAAATATTTTTTTGGGGAGCAAAGTGTTGGTCCTCCATTTGCAAATGGATTCATTTTCATTTTATTTGGGCCGTTTTGTTTTCGCTATGTTTTTGACGCTTTTTTCATATATTTTCGTTCTTAAAATTTGATATATTTTCGTTCTTAAAATGTTATTGATTAACGCTAAGGCCGTAGGCGTTTTCCCGAGAGTGAAAAAGAGATAAGAGAAAATAAAATGCATTGAATAAAATAAATAATATTGTGTCTTGTGTTTGATTTCGTTCTTTGGATCACATTTTTCAGCCAACTCTCTAATCCATATCATTCATTTGTGTGTGTATGTGCTGCTATTCATCTAAAGTCTCATCAGCGTGTTTAGTTTTAATGAGTATCTCTGCAGAAATGTTTACGTCTTGTTCTTTTTTTCTTATTTCGTTTATCTTTTTTGTTACTTAAGTGCTAATATTCATACTGGTTCGAACGACGAATGAAGCGTCTTCGAAACGGCGTCGATTGGACGTTGACTGTGATGATGATGATGATGATGATGACGGTCCTGATGGTGGAAAACCACGTGCACTTCCTTTAGAATTCAAAAAACCCGGTCGAATGCCGGAATTCGATTTCACTGGCATTAGAGTGACCAAAGATGGTGCGGTGCTACTTGGACGGAGTTGCGCTGAAACTCTATCGATCAAGAGCATTTGTTCGTATTGTGTTGGATCAACCTCTTCAACTTCAGCTTCACCGATCAGTGTTTCTGCGCTAGATCCATAATAGCTTTCCGTATTTTGGCTCAGTAAAATCGGCAGTTCATCTTCAGGCGTTGCGGCACTAGATGACGGAGGAAGGGTGGTTGTCGTTGTTTGTACCGGTCTTTTTGTAGTCGATTTCAAGTAATCGGCAATTGATGGATGATCTTTTTGTTGTTCAATCTTCAATTTGTTCGAAAAATGTGACATAAATGGTGGTAATTTCGCTGTTTCCATTGTGTTCATATTCAATTTCGAGGCCAACGTATCGAATATTGCTGAAATATTTTTAATTGGTTCTGATGTGTTACGAACCAATTCGGTTGGCGGTAGGCGTTCGGTGGCTTCGATTGGATTTTCGATGATCCATGCTTGAAGTGTTTCGTTGTAGATCTTTCGCATTGGTGCAACACTTGGATACACAAGCGTTCCGTTTACATATTCCCATTTCGATTGAACGGGAAATAATCCGGGTGTCCATGTTGCCGCCGCCGCACCTGGTGTATATTGAACCGTTTCCACCTCAACATATGATGCTGTCGCTGGTTCTGACTCTGAATCGTAGCTAACGGGATTTGATGTAGTTGACGAAGTCTTTGTTGGCGTCGCCTTTGGCGTTGCTGTTTTTGGTACACTGAACGGTGTTGTTGGTGCAATTAACGAAATACGATCAGATTTCACCATTGGATCAATGACATTCGGCGGCTTCTCTCGTCGTGCTGTCGTTTGATCGCGTTCGGTTGATGTTGAAAGAATGTCTTTTGTAATTGATTTGGTTGTGGCCATTATGTAATCCTTGATATTCTTAAAGCTCAATGTTTCCATTGAGGAAAGAACGGTAGCAATTTCATCAAAACTTTCCGTTTCGGATTCTTCGGTCGTATTCAATTTTGCAGTTTGATTTTTCACTTCTGGTTCTTTCGGCTCGGGCAATTCCAACTCATCGGTTCGCGACTGCATAATCATATCGTCAGAATCCGTTTCATTCAATTTCACATTGCTATCCTTCAACAAATCCAACAGAATCTCGCCAACTTGTTGATTTGTCACTTCATCGTCGATTCCTAATTCGGTTTTGTTTTTGATTCTATCCGTTGTCTCTTCGATATTCAGAGTAATACTTTCATTCGTTTTGTTGTGTTCCAGGGCTTTTTCATATACCGGTGTCGTTGTCATTTTCACCGTTGTCGTTTCAATTTTCGGAGATTCCTTAATCGAAGGCAACACTTCACCTTTATTTAAAAATGAATCATCTCGTTTGCTCGATTGTTCGCCAATCAAATCCACCGGTATTGGATATGGTTTCAATCCAGCACCCAGTCCCAATTTTTCCACTTCATGCGGGCCGTACATCAGCGCTGGATTATTGAAACTATGATAAATGGGTGGCCGATTAGTTTTTTGTACCGTATTTGAAATTGGATTTCGCACTTTGTTCCGAGGCAGTAATTGAACACCAACCGGATCAGTGTTATAACTTGATGGAACTACTGGTGGATTGACAGCATTGTGGATTTTCTTCTTAGCATCGTTTAAATTGTGATCGATTTTAACATTTGGTTGAATTGGAAGCCATGGTTGGTCATCGAGGACGATTGTACTTGGAAAGCTGGTTGCGTTTTTCTTTCTCGTCTGCGATACAATTTCACCTTCGAGTGATACCAAATCTCCAATGGGTCTCTTTGGTGGTGGTGCTTCACTTGGATAAACAACCGATGGAATGTTTGCCTCAGTTGTTGTTGTCGATGTCGTTGTGCTACTCGTTTCTATCCGTGGAATCGATACAGTTGATGATGGAATTGGAATTTTAGTAGTAGTTGAAGCCGCCTCGCTACTTGTATGAATTTCCATTTCCATTTCCATTGTTATCGTTGGAATTTCCTCGGTTGTCGTTGGAGCACGTGGTGTTGTTACTCTCTCGTATTGGAATGGTTTCGTAACATTCTCAAGCTTCAAAATGTTTGCCGTTAAATTTTCAGGCACTTTTGCCAATGGTTTCACCTTTTCAATGGTTGTCTTCTTCGGCTTCATACGAACTGAACCATTTGTGATGGTGAACGGTTTAAGTGTTGATGTTCGTACCTTTTTCTCGGTAATATCTGCGTCGGTTTTGGTCACTTCAAACGAACCTTGGAGAATCGGAGCGTTTTCTATGTCAATTTCAGCCTCAACGATATCCAATTTCGGCTTTGGCTTTGATGTAGTCGCTTTTGAGGACGGTCTGCTGATCAATGTTGACGATGGTGCTTTGCGAGATTTGTCATCGAACATGATTGACGATGGAGTTGTCACCTGAGAAATGGAAATTGACATTATTCAAATCGAGAAGTTGTAAACAAATCAAAAACGAAAGAAAATAATTTTGTTTCTTCATGAAATTCCAATTTTTTGTACAAAAATTTCTATTTTTTACATAAGAAACAAAAAAGCCCACACAAAATCCAAGAAAACCAAATCAATTTAATATGCTTCCATGAAAATTCTCTGTCTCAAGCTAAAATGAAAAACAACGTTCAAAGAGGAAAATTTCTATCGAAAATTCTTCAAATTCTTTCGTTTTTGATGTCTTGATGCGTCATCATCATCATCATTGTTTACTTACCCTTTCGCGAACGAATGAAGCCGAGTTCAAAACTTCTGTATCAAGTGATCTCTTGATTTCCAATGTTGATAAATCGATTTGAATGCCTTTTGCCGATTTCATTGACATGATTTCCTTGAGTATTGAATCACGGATGTGCTCTTCAACGCTACGAATAGTTCTATATCAAAGAAAATCAATAGCAATCAATTAGTATCATTGGCTTTCGAAATGATATGGTAGCTATTCAAATATAGAGTGATTATAAATTTGGTTGCGTCGATAGCCTATTCTTAGTTTGAAGAACATTTGAACAAACGTCATTACCAAAAAAATAGAGAATTTGTGTAAACTGTCATCAAATGCAATGGCGTTTTAAAATACACACCCACACTAGATATACATCGCTTCCGACCAATCAAATTTTTATGTTATGGTTATTTTCTGAAATCACATTCATGTCACTAATTTTAACCTTGTAGAGAGTATTTTCGCCAGAAAACTATAGTTCAGGTTAAACCGTATGCATTTATTCCGGCCGAGATTCCCGAAAATCTATTGATATTTATCATATATTTACCTTGGAACTTTTCTCATGTCAAGAAAAACACGAAAATCAACTTGAACCAATGGTCCGGTGCCGAAACCATGAATGTCACATTTGTATACAGTGAGTCCATTTCGTTCCAAGCTATCGCTGATTAAATTGCGATAGTAATCCACTTTCTGTTGATAGACAGATGTGTGGTTGTATTTTAATCCAGTTGTGAATACATCGCCACGGGTTACTTGGAATTTACCATCAAAAATCATAATGGCTGCAAGATAAAGTGGTATAGAGTGTTAGCAAAATTACAAATGGCATGTGTGGGATTTACTTACAATCGTCTGACTTGAATGTGCTAAAGTAAAATGCGAGCGCAGCAACGGAGAGGACAGCCAGAATAACGATAAATGCGGCTGTCATAAGAATTATGGTAAATGATTTAATGCTGCTGCGGCTTTTCGATGAGTATGTCGATGACGGTGTTAAGTTGCGAGAATCACGCCACATGCCCCATGAATTGTAGCCATATTGGTTGGTGTAGCTGAAATCATTGTTGCATCCAGCGTTGTTGGTGTACGGATTGCCCGATAAATGTGAATACGGTCCAATTGTCGAATGCCGTCCCAATGTATTCTGATATGACGAACATGCTGCTTGCTGTAAAGAACAAAATAAAACAAATTCACATTCATTAGAATTCGTTAGAATGCAAATTTAATTTGTAGAAACTAAAAATGAATAGAACCATAATTTCACATAAAATTACATGACTGTTATACATTTAAATGTGCCTGACGTAAAAGAGAGAAAGAGAGTGAAACGTCACGGTCGAAAAATTTGAAGCTATATAGAGAATGTGAAAAAAGAATCATTGTGGAGGATAAAATCAGCTTCACAAGTTTTAAGTGAATGCTATAGTGATAATTTTCCATGAGCTGCTATGCTCTGTCTGTCACATTCCATCCGAAAACACTTGAAGATAAAGCACACACAGACACACATAGTTCAACACATGAAACCTAGATGATCGAAACGTGTAACGCTATCTGAGCGGAAGCATTTGCATTCGCCATGTTTCGCAATGCGTATGTATATGGGTATTGTTCGATGAAAATTGAAGATAAATAAAAGCCAAATGAACTTGTTCTGTATCACAAGATGATACCGTTTGAAATAAAAGCCTGTGCAATTTCGGTCGATTTCTGGGCGAAAAACGGCCTCCATGCAACCGAACGAGCAAGCGAAGGAGCGAGAAAATGCCAGTGCCGAATTGGAATGTCGAAAACTTTGCAACACTTGATCTTAAATTGAAGTCGACAGCCAAACATTTAATGCAAATATTTACAGTGAACAATCATAGCGTTGCATTCAACTTGAGCCATCTCAACTAATTGTTTAATAATCGATGGCTCTAATTCTTCTCTCTCACTCGCTCGCTATTCGTCTCCTACAGACACACATTTTCTGCTTTTCGAAAGTGTAAGAGAAAGAGTTGACGCAGTGCTGGGGAGCATGTTAAAAGGAATGGTTGCTTTTCTCGGTTGCACATGCACATTCATAATATTCAATTGTAAACAAACATTACCGGGGCCAAACAACAAGCTAACTTTTTCGGTACTTTTCCGACAAAATGAAATTAGTTTAAAGCCGAAATGTAGTCGGTGCATTGCAGCGATGAGTAAAAGTTTTTGATTCCGGCAGCACCCACACTTTGCTATTACGCTACTGCACTCTCTTCAGCTCTGTCTCTCTTTCTCAATGCCTTTTCTCCTCTCTGTATGTCGCCTCCTCTCTTCATCGCTGCAGATGTATGCGTTTTTCGAGAATTTATTTGCACTGAATCTCTCTCTCTCTCTCTCTCTCTCTCTGTGTGTGTGTGTGTGTCTCGTTTCACGTGCTGCGTATTGAATGTCTCCAGCATTTTGCAAGCAAACACACGATGCTTTTTGCACTTTTCCTGTTTTTCCAGCCCCGTCACATTTGCATGAAACATCGAAAACATTCCAAGTAAGTATGCGGAACATAAGCCAAAATGCCAATGCTCAACGACAATGACACGATCAAAGCCTTTATATTCGGATAGCACAATACTGTTTACTTCTCGGAACAATGTTTGTTTTATACTTTATATTACACTCTCATCGACTTTTCGATGCGCCAGCATTTCGACGTTTGGTTCACTGATGAATCATCAGTGATGATATGATGGAGGCAGACGAGAGAGCGAGAGAGAGAGAGACAGCAAGCGGCTGGTAAACTTGCAATATAATGGAAAATGAACATTTTATCCAGGTATCAATAGAATATACTTGGAGCCCATCTCGTTAAATATATGGGACCGATGCAGTCGTTCGTTCGGTTGTTTGGTGTCTTTTGGTATTAAGGCAGCCGCAAAAGAAGCACACAAACATTCAAGTTTAAAAGCTTTTTCAACGCATTGAACGGAACGCGCGGGCGGCGCAAGAGAGAGGGAAATTAGCATATGAATATGCATTGAATTTGATAATGGCAAAAGAATTTCCACCATCCACCATTCATGAAATGCAACAGAAACCCATTATCATTAACACTTTTTTCCCGAAAACTCAACTGCACTGAGTGCTACACCAAATAGAAACAAAGTGATAAAAGTATCATGCAAATAGGAAAAGAATTGTTTTCAATGGCGAAAAATTACAATTAACAAACTTGCGCTGTTTTCTTTTCTTCTTCAAAAGGTCTCGTGCGTGGTATTATATGCACAATCTATTTCGTATACACGACTTTTAACATTCATAAAACAAAACGAATAACAAATTTTTACAGTTTTGACCTCGTTTTTCTGTATTTTCTTCATTTTTACTGGTTCGTTGGAGAACGAACTTTTCTTCGGTAGATTGAAATTTTTTTTTCTCTCCTCTTGAATCCCAGAAATTTTCTTTAGCTCAAGCTTCTGAGCTCTGTCCAACCCATTTCGTTTCAATTACTATGCTTAAATCGTCATAAAATCGGTTACTATTACGGTGCTTATTTGAGAGGTGGCGCAGGCACAGACAGAAAAAAACCGAAGCGTCTGCATTTTATATGAGAGGAAAGCGTAAGAATCAAGTGTTTGAATGAAAGGGGCGATTTGAATGGAAGAGGAGCCGAGAGTCGAGTGGAGTTAAAAAGGTGAGAGACAATGTAACGCAATAATGTATCATGAATGAGACACATTCAATCTAATCTTAATTTATTTGAAATAAAAGTTTCACCTTCTGGGAATTCAATGACCAGACGAGAGTTTTTTCTTCGTCTTCTTTTGCGTGCTTGCAAAACGAAAGGCGATACGAACCGATACAAAAAAGGGCGAGAGAGAGACACACACTAGAGGGATGAAACAATACTATGAAAACGAATTAAAAACAACATTGACATTTTCTTCATTTTCTCCTTTTATTTCTCGGCTTTATTTGTATATGCTGAGAATTGCGGTACTTTATTGTCAGCCCTGTTGCTACTTTATCTACTCATCGTGAAATCGTGTGCCCACTTCTTCGGAATATTGTGCATTTCACTTGATTCACTTGTTCCCTTTTTCTCCGCATTTTCCGTTTGCTGTACTGCGGCGTAAAAAAAAAAGAATACATAATTTATGTTTTAATGCGTAAATGCTTTTTGTTTCGGGCCCACTCGAACAAAAATGCGAGGAAGAAAGAAAGCAGAAGGAGAAAAGTTCAGACGTTTCTTTTTTTCTTCTGTTTTTCTTGTTTTTCTTTTTGTTTTTGTTTGTTGTGTGATAAAGACTCGATCGTGGCTTGTGCTATGCGGAAGAAATAAATTGAGTTACAGGCGATGACTATCAATTTCCTTCGATTTTTCCCTCCCTCTCTTGTTTCGTTGTTTCTCGTTTATATTTGACTCTGAAACAGGATATATTGGTTGATATTTTCATTGATGTGAAACTCTCTTGGGCATTTCCCAGTTGTCCTCTGATTGAAAAATGTAACACATACACACACACACATAGAGAGATCGATAGAAAAAGAAAGAGAGAAGTTCAACAAGAAATGTCGCAACTTTGGCACAAGAAATGACAGAGGATTTACGTTATTTTGATAGATTTTCTGCTGAGGGACCTGAGCACATGCATGATGTGTGTATGATAACAGAAGTTTTGTGGATCGTCAGTACGATAGCCTTGATTGACAACGAATTAATTGATTCGTTAGCACATGATTACAGAAAGAGACATTGGCTGTGGCTTTGACCGCACTTGCCCAAAACCGAGTGTGTGTGTGTGCATGTATATGTGTGTACCTGTACGTAGTGATTGACTCTAGATTGCGGTAATTGTATGGCTCGGTTTTTGTCATCATCGAATGCACCAAAACCGTACAGTTGATTTGTCGCCCAATTATTATCATAATTACGTGTCTCCAAATGATATTCAAATACCTGAAGCAACCGCATAACATATGGCAACAAAGAATACAAAACCCACTCAATTAGACTGCCATTAAATCGTGGGAATGTACGTACTTGTTTTGAATGTTCTATTTGTTTGCTTGCTTGAAAAGCTTATAATTTCATCGGTTGATAAATGAAGTGAATATGCATTTACCTTAAATCTCTTCACTACAATCCTACACAATTCGGTGGAAGTTTATCCATAAAAAATCATTCGGTAAACATTGAGACCAAATCAACGAACATACACCGACTGAACAAATGTGTGATTAATTCAAAAATAATTCGAACATCGCCAATGTAAATTCACTTGGACATTTTATGCCACAAGTAATTACTCATTTAGAGAGTGAGCGGGGTATAATCATAATAATCACCGAATGGTTTTGCACCATTTGACCAACGAATAAACTATGTGACAGTCATATTCCGCACTTTTGCTCGTTCGTGCCACCCACCCAACCAAAAATAGCCCCACGGTCATCATCTCATTCATTCATTCATTCGACTTGGAATTCAGTCGTTGTACCACTCGAAATATTGTTATTTAGTTTCACAAAATGGTTTCGCTTGTTGAATGCAAAACATAAGAGCATCATGAATATTACAAATCATTTTATCGAATAATTTTGGCCGACCTCTCTCTCTGGCTCCCCGTGTTTGACGTTCACATTTCGAGTGTGCCGGAACATGTTCTGAACACGGCTGAAATGTAAAAATGGATTTATTCTCGGCGAATGCCATAAATTTCCTTATGGCAACGTGCTAGCAAATGTTCCATACATTTGCTGACTATTTTAGTTCGGTTCCCTTGTATTCGATGTCAAAATTCTCCCTCAGTGTGTGTGGAAACATTTACAAGTTTTTCACATGGATTGTAGTGCTCCGTGTAACATGTGCTCGCGCGTGTGCGATTATATGCCAGAGTTAAACCATAATTACACGGATTATTTACAAGAAATGCAGCTTTCGAGCACTAATTTTTGGCTAATAAGCAACAAATCTATTGTTGATTCAAACATACATATGATTTACTTTGAAAATGATGCCGCTTGCCGCTTCGATGACGGATTATTCGCGTAATTCCATGAAACTTGCAATAAAGTCGAACGCATTTAACTTATGAACGACAGTATATTATATGTTTGTGCAGGCAATTTCTCCAGCATTTATGCACGCATACACACATTGAGCCAATCACAGCAGATTCACGTAATAGTGCACACATT